CTCAGTTTATGGAGAGGAATGTGTGAATGAAAGAACTTGCAGAAGATGGTTTGCAAAATTCAGAGGTGGAGATTTCACCCTTGAAGATGAAGATCGAACCGGACGTCCAGTTGAGTTTGATGAAAAGCTTCTTGAAGCAGCCCTTGAAGAAAATCCTGCTTTATCAGTTGAGGAATTGGCAGTGGTTCCCAGTTCAAACCATACAACTGTTCATTGTCATCTTCAACAACTTGGCAAAGTTCCTAAACTTGGAAAATGGGTGCCTCATGAATTGTCTGAAAACAACCTCAAATCCCGTGTTGACATCTGCTCTTCTCTCCATTCTCGCCAACTTGTTTCACCTTTTTTGGATAGACTTGTGACTGCCGACGAAAAATGGATCTTTTATCGAAATGTTAAGCGTCGTAGACAGTGGCTTGGTAAAGGGGAAGGCCCCCAGCCACAGCCGAGAAGGGAACTTCATGGGCAAAAGGTTCTTCGTTCAATCTGGTGGGATCGCCAAGGAATAATCCACCTTGAATTCTTACCACCTAATGCATCAATTAATGCTCAAATATACTGTCAGTAATTAGAGTGTTTGAACTGCTCTAGTGAATCGAAAAGAGGTGATGTTACATCAGGACAATGCGCGACCCGACACAACAAGAATCACATCACAAAAGATCGAAGAACTTGGTTGGGAGAAAATTCCTCATCCACCTTATTCTCCCGATCTTGCTCCTTCAGACTACCATTTGTTTCGTAGCTTACAGAATCATTTGGAAGAAACAGCTTTTGTAACACAGGAAGAGGTTAAAACTGACATTTGTGTGTTCTTCGAATCAACGCCAAAAGAATTTTACAGTAATGGAATTAGTAAGCTTGTTAATAGATGGAAGGAAGTCATAGATAATCAGGACAAATACATTGTTGATTGAATCTGTAATTAAATGTAAGATTTGGTCACTTGTTTTCTTTATTCAAAATTCGGACAGAATTTATGGGATGACCTGATAGGTAAACAATTCAACTAGAAAAAAAATGAAAATAAATACATTGTATGTAAATACAAAATTAGAGGCATGTCACAATGTATTATTCTACCTTAAGTAAATCAACAATTATTGCATTATTTACATTATTCTAACTGTTAGCCTCATCTTCGTTGCCATATTCACAACGTTTCGGCTGTTTTACGCTCCGGCCTTCTTCAGATGATTGAAATTTCGAACCGAACCCTTTATTTCGTCCCCCCCCCCACCGGGGTAGATTGTTCCAGTTCCAACATTACATACCAATTATTTGCGAATTTTGACTCAGGAGCTCATACAGAAGGGTTAAAATTGTCCAGGAACGCAGGGCTTAAAGGGTTAAACATTTAGAGTGGTATCCATGGAAATGACGTAATGCCCAGCCGCCGCTTTACCGATGGTAGAGAAAAATGGCGTAATGCCCAGCCACCGATTCACCGGTGGTAGAGAAAAATGACTTAATGCCCAGCCACCGGTTGAACGGTGGGTAAACACTTATAACTATTTCTATATCTACTGTGAAACATTACATACCAATTATTTGCGAATTTTGACTCAGGAGCTCAGGTAGAAGGTCTAAAATTGTTCAAGAACGAGGGATTCAAAGGGTTAAAAGTACTTTGCATTTGGTACAAAACGACTGACAATCGGCCTGTCCCTGACCGACAAACTGACGGATTTAGTTTCATTTAATCCAGTATAAATTTAAAGCTTTCACAAACGAATAAATCAGATTTGAATAATTTTTGTAACACTCCAGATTTATTGAATCAATAACATTATCGCAAATATTAACAAACGCTTGAAGAGAGAAACAGAAACATAGTTCATTAGTCAGTTATTAGTTAATTCATTAGCAACCATTATTATTATTATTATTATTATTATTATTATTATTATTATCATTATTATTATTATTATTTGCGTATGTTGTGTTTGCTTCTTTTGTATCCTGTAGATTATGGTCCTTAGGCACTTTTCTTAGTATATGGGATGTTCTTAGTAGGGCGATCTTCTGGGCAACTTGTATGTTGATGTTACCTGGGACATTGTTAATAAAATTTTCACACGAGGCCCTGAGTCCGATTACTATTGGTACAATCTCAGTCTTCATTCCCCACATCCTGTTAATCTCCATCTCCAATTTCTATTATTGTTGTTATTATTATTATTATTATTATTATTATTATTATTCATCCCTTAGTTAGCATGGGCATTATGCCCTGCCAATACCTCATAAATAATGGACTACTCTATTTTGATCTCGTGGAAAGATGGAAAAGACATATCAGAGACACTAATTGGTTTCAGTGAAAGAAAGAAAGAAAGAAAGAAAGGAAGGAAGGAAAGAAGGAAGAAAGAAAGAAAGAAAGAAAGGAAGGAAGGAAAGAAGGAAGAAAGAAAGAAAGAAAGAAAGAAAGAAAGAAAGAAAGAAAGAAAAAATGAAAATGGAAGGAAGGAGGGAAAATAGAAATGTCTAACGCCTGCTTTACTGAAATGAAAAAAAATTGTCAATTTCAAATCTTTTTATTTGTATCCCTTACTTCTTAAAATAACGACTAGCCTTCATATATATATATATATATATATATATATATATATATATATATATATATATATATATATATATATAATTGCTATTGGAATATTTATTTAAAGTTGTTACCTTCAAATATTTAATATGGGATTTTCCACATGTATTTTATTTTTGTAGAAACTGGCCATGAGCTTATCCAATGATTAATTTAAAAATTAACATTCACCCGAAAATTCAAATAGGGATGCCATGAAATTTTACACAGATCTTTTTAGTTATTATTATTTATTTAGAGAGCATCACAACAACAACAAAAGAAAAGTGTCGCCAGGGTACAAATATACAAACCCTACATACAGGTCGTTTGATAGCTGTATACCAGACACATGCACCACAGCCAAATGTGTGCGATATGGTGACAGATTTTGACAAAATCAGCGCATTACTTTCCAGTAGGGACCCAGTTAGAAATTACCTTCAGGTTATGTAACACAGTCTGGTCAGATAATCTCCAACTGAGGGAGTTTCCAATGAGTTAGATGTGTCTCTCAAGTGGTCTTGTCTGCCTCCTCCTTTAAACTACAGAAAAAAACAAAAACAAAGAAAGAAAACAAACTTTCGACACCCGGCTATGATGTCCTTCTGCTCATAAGCAATGCGTCAGTCCCACGTCGGGGACAGGCCCAGCTTATCAATCTCAGGCAACTGACAATAATGTCTGTGGTGCTGAGTATTACTGCAACCATAAACAAAACATGTATATGTCAATACCCTATTCACTTTAGTTCAGAAGCCTGTCCTGGGTATGACGATAAACTACATCCGGTAGCAAGGCCTCAGAACGGAACAGTGTAGATTTTTAGGAGCTTGGAACCACTTCTTAACTGCTGTTGTTCCCAGGTCCAACCTAACCCGGGGTGGTAGCACCTGTTAGGGTCCCAGCTATGGGCAAATACTAAACCCCCTAACAAAAATCAATAGTACATTTTTATAATAAAATTACCAACAATACATTTTTAAATCAAAATGACCAACAATATATTTTTATAGTAAATTGACCAACAATACATTAATAAAAAATACATTTTTATAAAAAAAAGTGCCAAAAATACATTTCATTATTTATATTTTAACTTAGTGAGGGTTACTGAATGAGGAATAACCCAAATGGAGGTTGGAAATGGAATGGTCATCTTTATAACATCAATAAAATACAATACTCGCCAGCAACGTGAAGTAGGTAAACCACTTCTAGTGGTTGACTACTTAGACAGCATATTACGATATTTACCTGTCTCCCCATGAGGTAGGATGTGGCACAAGGCCAAATTTAATGTGGGGATTCCGAACCCGTGGGGTCGGGCAAAAATTGCCCGTTGACCCCGCATACGAGGGTTCGGGTATCTGTTTACTTCCCCGGACAAGACTCTGCCCTTCAGAATATCCTCTTCCGGGTTCCTCTCTGCTCAAAGGCAGAGAGTTCGACACGACAAGAGCTTGCCACGCTGACAGCTCACGCTGCCAGCTTAGGTAGCATATTACCCCCACTTACTATAATTTAAACTATAAGTTTAGTCCAACGTATTTATGAAGATTGGGACATTCTCATTAGTGTTCATGCGTATGGTATATAACAATTTACAAACTGTATATCTAAAAAAAAAAAAAAAACATACGTTTACTCTGAAAGTATAAAATGATGTACAAGATATCTGCAGATGAACGCGTACAGTAGGGTTCAAAATGTTTAGATTTCGGCATTAAATAGCCAATAGAAATATTGATATGCGGCAAAAGAAAATCAACCAATCAACATTAGAATCAGAAGTCATGAGTGTCATGCTTTGTGTAGCACTAGGCAATTATTATTACTAATATTATTTTTGAGAGAGAGAAAGAAAGAAAGAGAGAGGGAGAGAGGGGAAGGGAAGGGGAAGGAAGAGAGAGAAAAAGGGAAAGAGAGGGGAGGGAGAGAGAGGGGAAGAGAGGAGAGGGAGAGAGAGGAGGGAAAAGGGGGAGAGAGAGAGAGGAAGGGAAAGAGAGAGAGGGGACGGATAAGGAGAGAGAGAGAGAGAGTGATAGAAAGAGAGAGAGAGCAGTGCGTCAAGAAAGAGACGCTGAGGCACTAATATACGAAGCTCATAATAGGCACATGCATCACAGGCAATTATTTTTTTAAAGCTTTTCACTCTAAGCTAGGCGGGAAGCTACTAGTACGCAAGGGGTTACAGAGAGTTGGAGCGAGAGCAAATAGAAGTGATAGAGGAAAGGATGAAGAGAAGTGTGCAGGATGTGGTGATAGGTTTTGATAAAATCACTGGATAACCTTGCAAAAAAAAAAAAAAAAGAAAAAAAAAGAAGAAAAATGCGAATGCTCTATGTACTTGTTCGTTTACAGAATCTTTTTTAAATGCCAAAAATCATTTACAACAGTTGAGTCTTATAAGTGGAGCTTACGGCCACATCACGTTGAAACACCAGTTCCCGTACAATCACAGGAGTTAAGTACCAGCGACCCTGGTCACTATCTGGATGGGTGACCGCTTGGGAATACCAGGCTATGTAATGTTGGGAATACCAGGCTATGTGTGTTCCAATTCCAGTCGGGTCCGTTATATTCACTTACGCCCAAATACACTTGGGGAATGTATGAATTCACTACTTCTGCCCAGCTATGGATTAATTAGTAAGACTTGAATCACTAAACTATTATTATTTTCAAAAATGAACATCTCACAATCTAAAAATATTTTCTGACTTTAAATAACCTACAAAGGGTTGATAACCCGTAAAAAATGATATCCACCAACCAAGTACTTGAATAAATACTTGCAGCTCTTTCTCTAAGCCCTTTATGTTAAATGCTTTATGAGACTGTAGATATTTTCAAGTTCATCTACATTTTACCGGACTTTGTTGGCCTTTGTTTTCTATTGATAAAAATGCTTAAAATCACTCACAGAGTGACTTTTTTTTATCATGGCAATATCAAACTATCCACTGTTACAGCTGGTCAGCATGTGTCAGGACAGGCGTAGTCAATAGTAATATGTTTTAGGTGTCTAGGTTATTAATTTGATTGCGAATTTCATCTTACACATGTTTCCTTTGATTTATTTCATCTTACACATATCATCTGGCAAATATATTCTCACATGACACTAACTGGGCAAATTGAAAGCAAGGACAGGAAAACAGCGCATTATCTAATAATGGTTGTCAGGGATTAGGCGAAATAAAAAAAGGCAAAATTTACTAATAGCTACAAATGATATTAAATTGTGAACAGCCATTAGCCCCGATGAAGGGACATAGAAGATACGGTGACATCACTATGAAAAGATCTAGGTTATTAAAAATGGATATACATAAATGTATTTTATGAATTCTATAAAATATGTTTTTAAAGATGCATAAGAGAAAATTGGATGTAAACAAAATACAAAGAATTTATGTTCCGAGTTTGTAAAGTTGGTATTTGCTATTTTGAGAGGAAATACTGGTGTGTTTTAACAGAAATACAAAAGCCCAAACTCTTAGTTTTGATGTATTTCAAGGTTATCTTCTGTGGTCATCTTGATTTTCGTTTGTTAAAGAACTCTAAGATAATTTAACCGATAAGATTTCACATTATGAATCAAATTTATTGTGATGCTCCTGAACACGTTGTTATAAAGAATTTTTCAGATGGAACAAAATTAGCATTCTATTTAGAGTAGTTGACGACAGATTTTGATAGAATCAACTTGATTGAAATTTGTATGAGAAACGGAAAAATCGTAAATATATACAGTGTAACCCGGATATAAGAGAAACCTGGATATAAGAGAGATTTTCTCTGGTCCCAAATTAGAGCCTTCGTTAATGTATATAAAATAGACTAAACCCGGATATAAGAGAAACCCGGATATAAGAGACTTCTTCTCCGGTCCCGACAACTCTCTTATATCCGGGTTACACTGTAACACAATTTAAAAGACTTTCGTTTTTATATGTTACGCTGATCAAAAAGCACAATAAAAAACGGATTGCATTTCAACCAAATCTACATTCTTCTTCTTTCATGCACCATATCCATTCAAGACGTAGTCGAGCAAGCCCTCCACATCCTCTTGTATATTGTAGCTCTTAATAAGTTTTGTTTTTTAGTTACTTCACCCACACCCTGCCCCGCCATCCGTTTAATCCACCCAGTTAAGTATATAACGTGTTGTTTTCACTGTTCCACTTTCCCTATATGGTATTGTGAGTATCAGATTTTCCAAGCCCACCTTCCTCATTATCAGTGCCAGAAATTTCAACTGCATCTTCTTGATGTTAAATATAAGTTTCCTCTTTGCATTCTCTCCAAAACCTTCATCGTTGCTCACGTGTTCGGCCCATTGTATCCTCAGTATTCATCAGTAGAAAAACACTGCTTTGAATCTCTTCTTCACCTTTGGGGATATTGTCCCAACAGGAGTCACCGGACGGTCATCCAGCGACTGCTGTCATAAACGCTGTAAAAAGGATAAAATTCATCGGAACTTATCCCTCGACCGGAACGGTGGGACAGGTGTCACAGGATCGTCATCCAGCGACTCCTAGCAGAGACGGTGTAAAGGGGTTAAAATTTCTCGGAACTTATACCTCGCCCGCGAATGGGACAGGTGTCACCGGATCGTCATCCAGCGACTCCTAGGATAAACGTCGTAAAGAGGATAAAATTCTTCCGAACATATACCTCGCTCGCAAGGTGGGACAGGTATCACCGGACCGTCATCCAACGACTGCTAGCATAAACGGCGTAAATGGAATAAAGTTCCTTGGAACTTATCTCTCACCAGCAAAGGTGGAAGAAGTGTCACCGGACCGTCATCCAGCGAATGTTATCAGAAACGTTGTAAAGGGGTTAAAATTCCTTGGAACTTATCCCTCGTCCACAATGGTGGGGCAGGTGATATCTGTCCGTCATCCTGCGTCTGTTAGCATAAACGGCGTAAAAGGTTTAAAATTCCTCGGAACTTATCCCTCGACCGGAAAGGTGGAGCATGTGTCACAGGACCATCATCCAGCGACTGCTATCATGAACGGTGTAAAGGGGATAAAATTCCTCGGAACTTATCCCTTGCACCAGCAAAGGTGGGACATTTGTCACCGGACCGTCATTCAGCGACTGCTAGCATCAAACAAAAAATTATTAGAACGTGAAACAGCTGAGGCTATTTGGGAATCTATATTAGCGAGACAGAACGAGATTCACGTTTGTCCCGTCATTGTTTTTATTTTACTTCTTCATTCTGCTCTTACTAAACTTAAACAGCGTGGGAAATAAAAAGAACATCTTTAAAATATGAGGCTATAAATGAAGAAAATGTGTTCAGACTCGTAACATTTAATCTAAATACAACACAATTGAGGCAAATAAAACTTCAGCATTCGGATAACTAGCGTGAAAAGAAAAAAATAAAAGCGAAATGGTTTTCGCTCACGCACTTTTAAGGACGGGATGGAGGATAGGAGAACATTTATAAAGGCACACACATACAAATAGACACACATACACACATCTATCTATCTATCTATCTATCTATCATCTATCTATCTATCTATCTATCTGTCTCAGACACTTCGTTATGTATCTCAGTCTCTTCAATCCCTATCTATCTATCTATCTATCTATCTATCTATCTATCTATCTATCTAAATCTCTTCATATCTATCTATCTATCTATCTATCTATCTATCTATCACACGTAGTTCGTTATCTATCTCTCTATCTACCCCAGTTTATTCCATCTATCTATCTATCTATCTATCTATCTATCTATCTATCTATCTATCTATCTATCTATCTATCTCAGACACTTCGTTATGTATCTCAGTCTCTTCAATCCCTATCTATCTATCTATCTATCTATCTATCTATCTATCTATCTATCTATCTATCTATCTATCTATCGGGTGTTCCTAAAGTCGCATTATTGATAACCTTGTAAATTTTACATTTATTTACCCAAATAAGTTTCCATTCTCTTATATGGATATAAAACGTTCACACTGTTGGCAGAAACAGAGAAGGATCCAAGCGTTTGAGAAAAATGCACGAGAAAGCTGCTTGACATCTTTTATTGGGAACTTAAAACCAATGAGTTTGTGCGGAAAAGGATTGAAAGTTTTATGGGCCCCAGGAAACTCTTCTGGCCACTGTCAAACGGAGAAATAGTGTAGTTTGGACAAGTTATAAGGCATGACGGCCTGTGTAAGACCATTATGCAAGGTACCGTTGAAGGCTGACACAGGAGAAGACGCCAACGCAAAAAAAAAAAAAAAAAAAAAATAACTGGTTGGACAATGTTAAACAATGTACCAATATGACTATACCAGAATTGCAGATGGCAGACGTTGATAGACCGTTGTGGAGGAGATTCAATATGGCTTCTGCATTCGGACCCCCACTAGGATTACAAAATTCAAGAGAATGATGATTATAATTATGTGACAATATATTAAGAAATTTTATTGGTCGAATTAAGGAGGATGATGTCATGCAAATTTTCCCTGGTTGCTATTTCACAAGTGTATGTTTTCTGCCAATTGTCGCGTGACTTTTGGTACACTCTATGTGTCGAGCTGCCTGTTTCTCTTCAGTCTGTTATCTATCTATCTATCTATCTATCTATCTATCTATCTATCTATCTATCTATCTATCTATCTCTCAATTTCTAAAAACCACCCCTGTTTACAGAGGGAAGGCTGTAAAGACTTAATATGTATTGTTTCCAATAAGTTCCTGTGTAAGTTCACATGTGCTCGGATCTGAACTGAGAACATGAACATGTTTTCATGATCGGGCATAGAACGCTGACGATTATACAATAGATCTTCCGCTATCACAGACCAGAATATATCAAAAGGAATTCCTGGAATGCTTGCAAGATTATTATTTCGAAGGATATTAAATTTCAAATTGATATGTGTTGTAATTTTCTTTTTATAGCACCAGACCCGATACTTTTTGATACGACGTCGTAAATATACCCCATAATATATAAAACTAAGGGAAGGAAGAGTTAGAAGACGGGACAGAAATTACTCACCGTAAAGTGTTGGATTGAAAACTATAAAAAATATCGTCACAGTAGCCAGTAGAGCACTTTCGGATTACCACTGGAGAGCGCTTGAGACAATTTATATTAAGTCTGAGCAGCCTTCCCTCTGTAATTGAAAGAAATGACTGGTGGGTCTAAATGCAATCTGTCTATGATTTTTACGGCTAATTCTCTGGTATTGTATACATATTTCTTCTTTTTACTCGTTGTGCACATATTTATATATTTTGTTCTTGTAGCAATGTGAGTCAGCTGAGGTCGAGATAAATTGAAAATGGATTCGGAACATTTAGATTCGACCGATGGTTATCAATGAAGTAAGTACAGAGAAAGAGGCTCGAACAGAGAGACAGTCACGCAATGAAGATAAATTACTTTTGTAGACGAAGATGACAAGACAAATGAAAATTATTATCTATAAAACTGACAATCCCAAGAAAAAACACACACAGAGAGACAAAGAGAGCT